CAGCCAATTTTTTCTGTATATTTCTAGATGTCTAGCTAATTTCTTTCTATTTTTAGTAGAGACAGGGTCTCATTCTTGCTCAGGCTGGTTTCAAACTCCTGACCTTGAACGATCCTCCTACCTCAGCCTCTCAGAGTGCTAGGATTACAAGCGTGAGCCACTGCGCCCAGCCTAGTCATAGGTAATTTTATATGTCAGCTTGGGTAGGCAAAGTGCCCGATTCCTTTGTTCAACATCAGTCTAGATATTGCTGTGAAGTTATTTTTTATGTGATTACCATTTAATTACATGTTGAGTAAAGCAGATGTTAGGATTAAGATGTATTATCTGCTTATCCAACCTGGGAGTGGCCAGAGGGCACACCTTTTACTTCAACTGTGAGAAATGAGTTCGTGACGGGAGCCCCAGCGTCCTTGCAGAGCTCTGCGGTCCCTCTTCTCTGTAGTCAGCAATGGCAGTGGGAACTGCTGCTGCCACTGCGTTGGGAATCCTGCGTGCAATGGAGATGATTGGGTCCCAGGGTGGCAGGGGCCAAGGGAAGGCACTTAATTGTCAACTGGAAAGTGGGCGTGGTTGCTCTCAGGGACAGCACAAAGCAGAAGAGCCTGACCTGTAGAGACCTGTGGTGTTGGCTAGTTGATCATGGTGTTTCTAGGAGTGAAATAGATAGATCGTCAGCCTTCTAGAATCTTACTGGATCTGCATAAACATAATTTCTGTTTCCTTTCCCCACGACCTTATGCTCTGCTGGTCTCTGGGCCTTTGTCCCAAAGGGAAGAATGCTTCTTCTGGGAGATAAAACAATGATTCCACTGGACTGGAAGTTAAGGCTGCCACCAGGCCACGTTGGGCTCTTCTTACCTCTGAATCAACAGGCAAAGAAAGGAGTTGCTCTACTCGCTGGAGTGATTTGTTGTGATTACCAAGAAGAAATTGGACTGCTACTCCACAGTGGGGGTGAGGAAGGAGGTGTCTGAAATACAGGAGATCCCGTAGGGCTTCGGTTACGGACCCTTTTGGCACCAGGGACTGGTTTCATGGAAGACAATTTTTCCACGGATGGGTGGGGATGATTCAAGCACATGACATTTATTGTGCATTTTATTTCTATTTTTATTACATTGTAATATAAATGAAATAATTATACAACTCACCATAATGCAGAATCAGTGGGAAGCCCTGAGCTTGCTTTCCTCGAACTCATCCCACCGCTGACCTGACAGGTGGTGGAGCTCAGGCGGTGATGCGAGCAATGGGGAGCGGCTGTAAATACAGATGAAGCTTCGCTCACAGCTGCTCACCTTCTGCTGTGTGGCCCAGTTCCTAACAGGGCACAGACCAGTACCCAACTGTGGCCTGGGGCTTGGGGACCGCAGCCCTGGGGTGTCTCCTAATACTACCTTGTCCTGTGATTGAAGTCAATAGAAGACTTTAACATCCAATTCAGGCAAGACTACTAATGGGCCAGACCCTTCAGGAATGAAGGTTTGATTCACTCTGCGAGGTAAAGAACCATGATTAGCCGAGGTGCTTGCTGAGCGCAGAGGGAATACCGAATAGGTAGTGGAAGAAGAAAGTTATAAATACCAGCTATGACCACATGACCAGTTACAGGAATAGGAAGGAGGCATGTAATTGTTATATTTCTTCATTATTTTCTTATAAATCTATGTGTGCATGGAAAACGTCTTTATTTTCTTCCCTTTCTTATTCCATATCATCTTACAAAGATGATAACTTTACTGTATTTAAGTATTAAATATTTAAGTATTAATCATTGTATTTAAGTATTGCTAGCTTTATATCATAGTATTAAATAAAGTTATAGGACATCAAGGAACATCCTCCAAGGACTTTGCAACCTCTTCTGGGGACAGGAATAGTATATGTTCAGCTTTACTTAGGATAGTTGTAACATGTTACGTGGAAGTATGACCTTGTTTTTGCCTTTATCTGGGCATTAAATACAGTTTAAGGAGATGTGTATCTGTACCATATTAATAAGAGGTAGACTGTGATGGTTAGTTTTCTGTGTTGTCTTAGCTAGGTTATAGTACCCAGTCACTTGGTCAAACACCAGTATAGATGTTGCCGTGAAGGTATTTTTTAAATGTGATTACCATTTAAATCAGTGGATTTTTCTCCAGGTCTGTTATGAGCAAAAATAAAATAAATAAATAAATAAATAAATAAATCAGTGGATTTTGAGTAAAGCAGATTACTCTTCATGTGGCGGGTGGGCCTCATCCAATCAGTTGAAGGCCTTAAGAGAAAAGACTGCCTTCCTAAAAGACGAAGGAATTCTACCTCCAGACTGCCTTCAGATTAAAGACCACAACATTAACTCTGGACAGAAATCCGGGCTGTGGGCCAGCCTTACAAATTTCAGACCAGCCAGCCCCCACAAATACATGAGCCAATTTCTTAAAATAAATCTCTCTTTCCATCTATCTACATACATTTTTATGGGTTCTATTTCTCTGGGGAACCATGCGTAATGCATGTATATTTGGGAAAATATCAATATGAATCATTTACAGGAAATGTGTTAAGTAAAATACTGGTATATGCAGTAGCAGAAACGGAAGGCATCTGTCTGTGTGTGCCATGAGGGCGTGGACTGTCTTGCTCATGGTTTTATATATCCAGTGGTGATCACTATTTTGTGGGAAGAGGGAATGACTCTCTCTGGACCACAGTTAACATGCTCAGGTAGTTGATGAGGACAATAGAAGACACACAGGCACAACAGGACTGGCTAATTGATCTGGAGGTAGAAAAATGTCCCTATGCTATGAATAAAGATAATAAAATCATAGCTAATATTATAGACTACTCATCACTTGCCAGGCCCCATTCTAAGTTCTTTATATGCAGTAACTCATTTCCTCCTATAAGCCAGAACCTATTAGGCCCCTTTTATGGTGGAGGAGACTGAGCCACAGAGACCTTGTGTCACACAAGTATAAGTGACACAGCTGGGATGTGCCCTCATGCCCTCATGCAGGCTGCAGCATCATGCCCTCAACCATTACTCTATGCAACCATGTCAGGTAAAGGACAGGGACACTGAAAATCTGGCACAGAGGCAGAATGGGAAGAGCACTGAGCTGGCTGTCAGAGCCCGCTGCACAGCGCTGTGACCTCTCTGGGCTTCAGTTTCCCAGCCATCAAGCCAGGGGCACAATCGGGCTACCTAACCAAGGGCCCTCCCAGCTCTGAACTCTAAGAGGCGGGGTTTGGCATCCAGCGCCGTCATGATCTGGCAGATGTGGCCAGGGTGAGAGGCCCGCTGTAACCCAGATTCAGCCCTCCGACTTCTGAGCCATGTGACCTTGAGCAGGTTGCTTAACCACCCTGGAAGAGGACACCATCACTTTAGTCCCTGTATGTTCGCTCTCTCTCTGGGTGATATGAAGTTCAGATGTACGAATAATTGGAAAGGCTTTTGTTTGTTCAAATGCTATGGCAGCATTTTGATTCCAGAGGACTTTGTGCAGGACTTTGTGCATACTCCCCCTGCTACACCATCAGCAAGGCTTCACTCCCCTCCCAGCCTCCAACCCACAGCAATTCTTCCCAGGTTTTCTCCCAGGAGCTTGTTGAGACAGAGTCTCTCTCCAAGAGAATCCGCATAGGTAGAGTGATCATAATGGTCATTGTTTGTTAAGTCCTAGCGCAGTCACCCCACTCTCATCTAATCCCTGCATAGAGATACAATCTTTCTTTCTGCAAATGAGGCAAGGGAGGCTCAGAGAGTTTCGGTGACTTGCCCAGGCCATGCAGCGAGAAGTGAAGTGAGCAGTGAACCAGGACTGCCCGAGCCCAGAACCCATGCCCTTCACACAGACCGACTTCTTTCCGAAGGGCACCTCCGGGCAAGTGTGTTCGTGATTCCTGGGCCAAGATACTCATCTTTCTCTTTGATTGAACATCAAATAGCACTCCTTCAACAAGTAGCCAAGGGGACCAACCGTTGGCTTTAATTACAAGTCACCAGGGCCTCACTCCTTCCTAATGAGCACCGCCACACCCTCCAAACTGCAGAACCTGCCATCACCTGGCATGGGCTGACATGAAGCACTTCATCTGGAACCAGTGATCATGTATGTTTCATCTTGCCAGGAAAATGCTGGGCAATTTCCTCCAAACCCCCAGTCCCTCTGCTGGTCTGAAGTCGCCAAGGGCTGGACTTCGAGGGAGGACAAAATTCAGCCTGACCTTGGGAGGAACTTGCAGTGATTCAGAGCTAAGTCACAAGAGGGAGCTCTGAGGGGTCAGCGAGTGTCCTGTGAGTGGCACTGGGCAGCTTAAGACTGATGGTTCCTTGTGGGCACGCCCTGGCCAGTGCTGCTCAAGATGTGTGGGCCACACGCCGGGGCCAGTCTGCTGTGTCCAGTCTGCAGTGCACATCCTTGAACAAATATGCAGTGTTTGCAATTCTTTTATTTTTTTATATTATTTTGTTCTCTATATATTTATTGAAATTTTTCTGTTGAATCTAAAAAGCTGGGTTTTGTATTTTGTGTCTTCTTAAATTTCATTTTCTCATTAACTCATTTTTCCAGAGTTTAGGTCTGTGACTGATAGAAATTAGTCATTCACCACATTCATGGGAGTTTGAGAAGCCCCAAACGAGAACCTAGCAACTGGTTAGTTGGTTTCTACCCCCTGTAGTCACTTTCAAGCCTCAAATCTGAGGAACTACAGTTGGGCAGGGAAATCAGAGAATGAAAATGAGGGATGGGGAAATTTCTGTGCCATCAACCGTTGACACGGGAACAGAGCAGATCCTGTTATCTCCTGCTCCCACCCCATGACCTGGCACAATGCCTTTTCATTGGCTAGAAGATGAAGCTCAGGGAGGTCACCTGGCCTGCCTGAAGGCACTCAGATTGTTAGGGGCTGACATTCCCATCCAGGGCCCAGGTGTCTGCCCTCCCAGTTCAGTCCCCACCCCAGTCCCTTATTTCCAAGGCACACAAAGACAACCAGAGTCAGAATCAAGTCGAAAGTGTTTTATTGTCATTCACATGTTTCATAGAAAAAGGAATGTAGCAAACAGGTCAAGGCAATATGGAAAAAAAAAATCCAGGTTTGTACAGGTGGCTCTATTTACATCTGGAAGCTGGGATCCCCTGGCATCAGGCGCAGCAGCTGCACTTGTTCGATGCCCCTTTGCAGACGCAGCCCTGGGCGCACTTGGCGCAGCCCGCGGGGCAGCAGGAGCAGCAGCCTGGGGAGGGAGAAGAGGCGGCAAAGATGAGCACAAGGGACACAGGGAATAAGGATTCCTGCCCCCCCCCCCAATAGGGATCGCCTAACAGACGCCGAGGATGGGATGGGGAATCTCCAGCCCGCTTCAATTCCCCTGAGGGTGGTGTAGAGGCTGGGGACAGGCTGGAGGGCAGTGAGGGGGTAGAGGGAAGAAGGGACTCCACTCACTCTTCTTGCAGGAGGTGCATTTGCACTCTTTGCATTTGCAGGAGCCGGCGCAGGTGCAGGATTCGCCTGTAAGGAGAAAGACGGAGATGAGAAGGGTCCCTGCACGTCTGAACGCGGGACTGCATGCTAGGAGCCCGGGTCCAAGTGCCTCTGTCCCACAACCAACTCCTGGAAACTTGGGCAAGCCCATTAACTCAGATCTCCATATCGGTAAAGCGGGGGCTCCGCATGACTTCGGATGCAGAGAAAGACACACTAACATGCTTTGGGAAGGGGCCACCAGACCCTGAAATTGAGTGATAAGAGAAAGAGGGGTCAGGAATCTAGCTCTGCAATCTCCCCAGCCCCAGACCAGGCATATTACCGGTGGCGCAAGAGCAGTTGGGATCCATGGCGAGCTGGAGGAGCTGGAGGAGCTGGAGGAGCTGGAGGAGCTGGAGGAGCTGGAGGAGCTGGAGGAGCTGGAGGAGCTGGAGTTGCTGGAGGAGCTGGAGTTGCTGGAGTTGCGGGAGATTCAGGAGCTCCGGGAGGCGTGGTGGAGCCCAGCGCGCGGCCAGCTGCCTTTATACCCGGAAAGGGCCGGGGCGAGTGCAAAAGTCCCGCCCCTGCCGGGCGCAGCCTGCGCACGCCCCCGCTGAGTCACTCTCCGCTCCACTCGGCACTCCCGGCTGTGCGCACGGGCCGCCGGGCGCCAGTTCCCAGAAGCCGCGCTACGTGCACCCCGGGCCACCTTGGCGCGGAAGGGGCTGAGTGCAGCGGCGGGACACGGAGTGCCGGGTGCCAGTGCGGGCCGTGCGCCGAGCACCGCGCGCCCTGTCCCTGACCCCAGCCGTGCGCACAGCGCCCCTCCCGCCCGCTCTGTCCTCGGGTAGCGGGCGGCTGAAAGCGGGTCTTGGGGAATCCTGCTCGCACGAAAAATCGGTGGGAAGTGCGGACAGGTTAGAAAACACTCTGTAGCAGTCAAGGCTTAATATAATAACTGTGCGGCATTATATGCAACCCTCGGGGTGGTGACAGATCACATATCAGTCGTATACTGAATGCATTAGTGTGCAACAGGGACTGTTAACGTGCCAGATGTCATTTAACCTGTAACAACCCATAAGGTAAGGACTGTCCATTCTCATTTTAGAGCAGGATGTGGAGGCCCAGAGAAGTTAAGTAACTTGCCCAACGTCACAGAGCTAGTGAGTGGGAGAGCGTGGTGACTCTCAGGCACCAGCACATGCCGAAGGTGGATGTCAGAAGGTGGATGTCAGCAGCACAGAGGATAAAGATCTAGAAGCCACAGACCTGGCGTTCAGCCTGGGAGGAGGTGGGCTATTGCCTTGGCCCCGAGGCTGAGGTTTGCCAGGGAAGGACTTGGATTCCAGCCTGGGGAGGAAGCAACCGGCTGGAAAGTTGGCATGGCCCTGGGACATTTGGAAGGGTAAATCCCGTAAGAACTTTCTTCCCCACGCGGATGCCGAGGGAAGAGCTGAGGCAGCGTCCAGATTCTTCTCTGGGGAGGCGCATCCCGCTCTCCACGTGCCCGGGTCTCGCCTGGGTAACGGTGTTAGATCATCGTCCTCCGAACGCCCAGAGCTTGCATGTCATCCGGGGAGGCAGGAGACAGTTACTGGAAGCTTCCTGGAAGGCGTAGGGAACGCGGAGGCTGCAGCTGGAGCTCAGTGAGAAGGTGGGTGGTTTGGGGGACAGGCTGTCCTCGCGGCACTTACTGTAAGCGCCTGTGAAAACGTCTCAGGAGCTCAGCTCAAATGTCACTTCCTCCGGGAAGCCCGTCCACCCCCCATGTCCGTGGATGCCTGTGGAATGTGCTGGTAAACATCCTGTCTTCCTGGCACTTGCCATGCCTGTAATGTGTATGAACTTGTGAGATTCTTGGCTTGGTGTCTCTGCCCCTCCTCACCCCCACTCAACATGAAAACTCCAAGAGCAGTCCTTGCCCCCCGGCCCCCCAGATTGTGTTGCCAGCCCCCAGCACAGAGCCAAGTATGCAGTAGGCACTTAATAGATATTTGTCAAATGAATGGGGGTAATCTCCTAGACTGTTCTGTCCTTCCCAGCCCCAACCTTGTATTAGGGCCGATTATAAAATGAAAGTAAAAAATCTTTCCCCACCCTGGAACCTGTGTGCTCACTCAAGCGAAAAAGGGCAAGCAGGGTGTGGAGACAAGCTATCAGGACTAAATTCCGGACTGGGCGAGGTGGCTCACGCCTGTAATCCTAGCACTCTC